CCACAAAAAAAAAAAAAAAAAATTTAAAAATATAAATAGCTTAAACTCTTCGAGGACAATATATAATTGTCAGTAATTTGTACACAAAAATATACAAAATAATTTGTAAAATTCCTTAAACTTAACTATTAAGAACTAAACCTTCTAATATTAAAAATAATAATTAAGAAATGGATATACGTATTAAAAGGTAAGCACTCAGTGTGATTTAGAATTGAATAAACCATTTGTCTAAATTTCATTTCATTATTCATTATTTCATTAAAATTTGCTGAAATTGTAAACAATATTCAACGGCCCGCCCTGCCAACGCCCTTGGCACTATAAATAAGATATATTTTCAAGTTATTAGAACTATGCGTTTTATTTAAACCTTCCATTTTTACGAATGAATTCCAAGTGGGACGATAGGTTAACCCTTTGTATAATTGGCTGGTCACCCTAATGTCGAAGTCTGCTGAGTATGGCAGCTAATGTAAAATGTATGCCAATGCGCACTAAAAGCGTAAACTTTTGCCATAAACCCACAAAAAAGTTGTAGACTCTTATTGTTGGTTGTTGCTGCTGCTGCTGCTGTTGTTGTTGTTGTTGTTACTGTTGCCTGCCCTAAGCTATCATCTGGCTTTCAATCAAATTGCCTACCAAATGCAATAACTATAAAATGTTATGGCATGGCATATACTCGTACTACCTACTAAACATATAGTCACATAAAACCAAGCAACCCAACGACCAACTCAATTCATTTGCAGCCGAAAATGTTTACTTTTTTATCAGCTTTTTATTCTTTTGAGTGTGTGAGAGAGAGTGTGTTGGCTCATTAGCCGCGATATTTGGAAAGCTGCATAAACAACACAAGCTCGAAGTCGGGCTCTGGAAATGGGGCATTACTCAGTCACTAGCAAATTTACGAACGATATTTTCATTGCGTTATTTGCTCTGCTATTAAAATCGATTTTCCATGTATTTTGTTGTTGGCGTTGGAAAAACTTTTCAACTGTCATTAGCGTTCAGTGTATATGTGTGTGTGAGTGCGAGTATGCGAAAACTTTATCAATTCGATGGGGTGGGGGTGGTGGGCTGCTGAGGCCATTGACGGCTTGGCCTGCCAATTTCCTCGAGCTAATAATTTATGCTGCCGAACCGACCCCCTCCGGGAACCAAATGCCCCTTTGAACTAATGGCATTGTCGTCGAGCCTAACATGACTCATCAGATCCGCACCATATCCCGCCCGTTTGGATTTATTTCTGTCCACTCATTTCGGCCGATTGTTTGTCTTCATTTCCTACGCCTAACTTTGATTGACATTCATGCCCCATCATTTATTCATTTTGCGCCATTTTAACGCTTCGCTCCGCTCCCATTCCTGCTCCTGCCAGAGAAAAGTTTCGGCTGGGGCGCCAGAACTCCTTCCTCCCAGTATTTCTTGTCAAAAATTAGCAGCTACTCTTTCGGTTTCGTGTCCTAGCAACTGCAACTGTCAGCGACAAAAACAACACCCGCAACTTATGTGCTGGCCAAATATTTGCAGAGCCATTAAGTGAGTCCCAGGATATGGCGAAGACAATGAATCAGGTCCTTCAACTGAATGTCACTGCTAATGGGTGGTTTTCATCATCTGCTTGTCCTTCGTCCTTTTCCATTTGCTGCGCAATTGACTGCGATTTGCAATCATAGACGCGTATTTCGTGTTTACTCGAGAATGATTGGACGGTTGTGGTTGTGGGTAGGTTTGCCTTCCTCGGCCAGCAATTAAGTGTCCTTTGTTTGTCCCGGCCCCCTTGGTTTTGTATGCATAGTTGTGACTTACCAACAAGCGTGCTGAGCAATTATCCTACACTATTTACAATTGACTTTCCTAAACAACTGTTCACATTTTATCCGACTTGGTGAATGTTTCCTTTAAAAGATTGAATAGAATAGAATTCTACAAATTAAATAAAAATTGGTCCAAAACCAGAAAAAAAACTAAATTATGAAAAACAAACAATATTTTAACTTAGAATTTCAAATTAATAAATATTTTTAACTAATGTCGAAAAAATTACCACTTTGTCAATATCTGTAAAATAAATGCAAATAGTTTCCAATAAATCAACTCAACTGACAAACTGAAATGACATATTTATTACAATATTTTATTTGATTAAAAGAACATATTAATGTGTTCTTGCTGAATAGAAAACCAGTAAAATTTTTGTATTTTTGGGATCTGTGAAAAACTTCCGATATTTGAAAACCTTATTGGCAACAGACACAATCGATTGAATCGAAACTGCAGCAGTGCAGCTTTAAATTCAATGATAGCTCGCTTACAGCCACACACACAAACACATACATACTGATTGTGTGCGCATTTGTGTATAAGTATATGTAGTGTGTGGTCATATTCGATATCTCCACCCAAACAGACGCTGGTGGGAGCTTTGGAGCATTCGTGCTCGCAAAGCCCGGCAGCGTTGAATTTTATGAGAACTCGGCTAAACACACGCCCATATAATTTTGATTACACTTGTATTTTTTGTAAATACACCGCCCGCACACGTACACGTACACGCACACCGAAAACCAAAACAACCACAAGCACACATGTGCATAAAAACGACATCCAGCTGCCAGGATTCGCGTCTGGTATGGTCTGGTCCTGTGCCCCACAAGGGGCATACCAAGGGGGATACTAAGCGCCTTCGCAACAAATTGCAGTTAAAAACGGCGGCGTCCAACAAATCTGCAGGCTGTCCGGGCAACGGACGTAGCTAAGGAACTAACGCCGTACACACACACACACACACACACACACACAGACATTCGTCTAAAAGGATATTTTGCTGGTTTCTATAAAACACGTGTGCGATTTAACAACTACAAGTGCAGCTCACACCCACATAGGTTGGCCGAAAAGCGAGTTTTGTTGCGTTTTTATGTGGCTCCCATAAAAGTTATTAATGCGACCGTGTGTGTGTGTATGTGTGTGTGAGTGTATGCTGTACAAAATGGCGCGGGCGTGTGCAAGCGTTAATGTGGCAAAAATGTTTTGGAATGAACTTTTCCATTTTTCGCGACAGGACTTGTTTCTTTTGTTTATATGTTGCCGCTTTTTTTGCACATTATGTATTTGTGAAATATATTTGCAATTGCATTTTTTTCTATTAGTATTTTTATTATTATTTTGTTTGCGGGCCACAATGCGGCAGGATGCGAGTCGTAAAACAAACATATGACTGCCCGGAGTTACTAAAAATACAACAAAAAAAAAAAAGCTTTGAAAGAGAATGTCGGTGCAAAAAACAAATTTAAAAACGAGCAGCGATTAAATACCAGTGTTGTAACATTTAAGCGGAAAACAAATTCAAATTATTATTTTATATATTTTAAACACAATTGGTTTTTCTTTATATTATTTTTAAGTTACTAAAAAAATTCTTCAAGTAAAGCGAACATCATTAAGGTTATCAGACTCAGCCCTATTTTTACAGCTTTGAGCAACAAATGTGCCACAAGTGAGATATGGATTGGATATTCTTTTAATTGAACGAATTGTTCCTACAAGTATGTTCTTCATTCTTCGCCCTATTGTATTTTTGTTGCTAAAGGGTTTAATTGAGGCTACAAAACTTGGATACTACCAAAAAGAAATAATATTATTTTCAGACATAAATATGTCAGTCCGAGTGACCGCTTTTATTATACTTGTAGTTCTATATTTTGTAAAAAGAGATATTTATGTCTCTTTTCTTCACCATGTTGTTCATCCCAAACCAGCATAAATGTTAAATCAAATAACTTATTTGTCAGCAACAGCTGAGGCATAAAAATGCGTTCTTTTAAAAACAATTAGCCACAAAGGTGTCTTTGTTTCAAAACTCAGTTGACATTCGTTGAAAAACCAGAAAATTGGAATACAAAAAGAATACATTTTGAAATGGATTCACAGGGAATTATCATCATCATTATAGTCATTACCATAGCCGTTGTTGCTCTTTTGTTATTATTTTGGTGTATAATTGCGGCAAATGTTTTCCAATCGGACGAATGGAACTATCAAAACGAACATTCCCCACCCGCCGCGCCATACCATGACGGCAAAGTTAGGTGATATTGAAACAAGATACAAGGATCAACTGTTCGACTGAAGCGCAAGTAACTCATTAAGGACTAGCAGCAACCCTCATAATGAGCGAGCATTATCGTCAATTATTTTAGTTTTTTCTTCAAATTAAAAACAAACAAATCATTGTTCGTTCTCTAATTGTGCCAGTTTGGAAGCGCTAGCGTATTCGAAAGATACCAGCTCTTAGTTTGATTTTTTTAATAAGTAGATATATGTATGTATATGTGTAAAGAATTGCGACAAAGAAGCAGAATAGAAAAAAACATATTAGCGAACAGAAAATGTGACTTTGCCTGAAAAGTCAGTATGAACGCTGTATTCGTTATTGTTTGACCTAAAATATGGTCATAGCATGTCTCGTTATTGGTGTCTTTTTATGCTTGTGTAGCACTCTCATAGTGGCCCTGCTGCCTTGGGGATATTATTACCAATATCATCATAACCATTCCAATGAGAATTGGCACTGGGACAAAAAAATGAGCTCTTCGGCTGGACCGTAAGTAATGCCTTAATGACTAACTCCTGGCTATAACATGTTTAAGAAAATAATCTTTTATTCATAGAATCGAATTGGCACTTTTAAAATTATACCTATGGGCCCTCATTTGAGGTAATACCTTTTTCGTGGCTGGTACGTGCTGTTATTAAACGCTTTATGAATTACGTGGAATAATAGCATACTGGTCCTTTCTTATGTGAGCAGGAGAATGTTGCAGTCGAGTAAGCCTGACAGATCCCTTTGTAAGCTGTCGTCTGCTGGGATCAGAACAATAAAAAGATCTAAGCATGGTTAAGGTGCAGCTATGCTTTTTACGTCATTAGTTTAAATTATGTTACTCCTTAAATTAAATTTTCTTTAAATTTTTATTTTAGAATTCGCACAAATTCAAAGCTAAATATTTCGATATGCCAAGTAAAAAGGTCCTATATATCATAATCATAGTACTTGCAATTTTAGCATCAATCTTCATCATTTTGTCTATTGTGATGCTGGCTAAGCCTAGGAAGTGCACAATCGCCGACATTTTCGACCAAAATGCTACCACTAAAATCCCCATAAATATAATTGAATAATTATCATTATTTCATTATCATGATCTACCCGTAATCTTGTGCGCTCGTCTGCCAAGTCTCGACACTTTTAGTCCAATCGTCAAAGGGATCAGTCGATCGAATCAAAAGTTGTTGTAAACGAGGATGAAAATGGTAAGTTTATAGCTTATTCTTAAAAATGTTTTTATTTATTGGGGTTGACCAAAACTATGAATTTCATTAGCCATGTAACATTTCCGCTTGCTTGAAAGTCGCTCCTGTTAATCGCCTTATTATTCCATGTTCACATTAAATAATTACGGAACTAATTTGTGATATTTAAGTACGGGACAATTTTTAACAAATCCCTGCCAGTAATGTGTCAATCTTTGCATTTCAATTCAAAAATAATTTTAGTTGGCTCCGTTATTTCGAATTCAGCAAAATTCTTATTGTATTCGTTAAAATTAAAGCAACACGTTTCGATATGGAGGAAAAACATCTCATGATAATTATTATAATACTTGCAATTGTGACAGTCGTGTTTGGCATTTTAGGTTTTTACTTGCTCCTTAAGCCCAAAAACTGTACATGGGCCGATGTGATTGAGGATTCTGGAAAATTTATGCCAATTGGATCAGAAATAGTCACTTAATTGCTCGTTTTTTAACCCACAACTGTTAAGTAAAGGTTGGCCTAAGAACTGGTATGTTTTCCTTTCTATCAGAATATTTAATTTCCAGAGATGTTCTGGCCGTGGTAAAGAAGGAGAAATGTGCATCCAGAGGTTCGCTTCGTACTTGTTTCCAGTTAACCGTATCGAAAGGTAAGTGCATGTTCATATTTTCTTGTATAATGACTTCGAAACGTGTCTAGTGACACACATCACATCACTATATACGTGTAGTATGTTAGCATTGGCAATAGGTAGGATTTATAAATGTACGAATTTATGAGATCAAGCATTCATGAACAAGAAAGGACAAATCGATATGGCCATCTCTATCTGTCCAACTATCCTTAGATCTAAGCACATCTTAAGATTGGTGGAATTCTTAGAGTAAAGTTACGGAGCAGCCAAGAGTAAGGGACGTACAGAGTAAGAAACGCAGGTCCCAAACCTGCCTTGTGTATCTTAAAAGACTGAAGCTAAAGTAGAAGTAAAAAATTGATAAAACAAACCTAAAGAGATATATAATAATTATAAAGATTAATATGAATTTTGAATGTTAAAAATAAAACTAATAATAATAAAATAACCTAATACTAAGATCAATATAATTAAATTTATAATGACTAGCGTAATAATTTAAAAGCAATCCATTACTTGTAACTCTAGGGTAAAGCTTATAAATAAATAAATAAGTAAATAAATAAGTAAATAAATAAATAAATAAATAAGTAAATAAATAAATAAATAAGTAAATAAATAAATAAATAAATAAATAAATAAATAAGTAAATAAATAAATAAATAAATAAATAAATAAGTAAATAAATAAATAAGTAAATAAATAAATAAATAAGTAAATAAATAAGTAAATAAATAAATAAATAAATAAATAAAAAAATAAATAAATAAATTAGTAAATAAATAAGTAAATAAATAAATAAGTAAATAAATAAATAAATAAATAAAATGTCAGACTAGGTTTATATCAAAATAGGTGAGTAAAGGAAATATATAAATAACTTACCGAAATGACAATAGGTTTTATGAAAATAGTCATTTTAAGGGCATCTGAATAGAGTCTGCCTGGACGCAGAGTTGCATTTGAAGTTTCAAGGCAACACTGATGCATCGATTGGTGCGTGAAGTAAAATACATTTTCGATTTTCAGTCTTTAACAATAAAATAAAGGTTTATTCTTGCGCTTTTTGTCATATTCACACTTATAATTGGTTTGTTTAATTGTTGTCCATATGATACACCGGCAACGATAATTCTAGGGTTAGATGTGTTCTTAATGCTTTGCTCTGATAGTTTGCTTTAGTGATGCTACACTTTGATGATGCCTTACACCTATTTAGTACTTATGCAGAATATTTTTTGGGACTCGAATCTCAAAGTGTTCAAAACAATTGATTAAATGCATAAACTGAAATGCAACCAACATTTTGGCATTCGATTTGTTGTTCGCCTTCACATACACGAATACAAATTAAAATGGCAGTTTGTTTTGTATGCTTAGCTTTATCTTTACCTCTATGCTTAGTCAATTTTAAGTATAGCAACAAAATGTGCAACGCAAAAGTGTGACAAGGGGAGTGGAGGAGGCCCTTATAAATATAAATATACTCGTACATACATATAGTACAGGCTTAATTTAGGCCAATGACTACAACGTCATCAGAGTTGAATAAAACACACTTAAAATGATTCAAGTTAACAAATAGTACATTCGATTAAACACATCTGGCGTACTATATTCATACGCCTTTTAGCACATGGAGGACCTAAATGGCTAGTGCTACGATTTAATTTAGCTGTTTATATTAAGTTCCGAAGTAGGATCTTACATCTACACATATACGTATTGTACTCGTATGCACTATATTAGGCTTACGTTTCTAATCTTCTACTCGCACATAGTAAACAATTGTTGCTTTTAAATACTAAATGGAGATACTTTTATAATACAATTTCAATTTCTGTTGTTGTTTTGCTTCTTCTATTTAATTGTTTAGGCAAGGGTTTGAAGTAGAGGTGTGCCTTCTAATTGTTGTGGAAACTTAATATTTGTGCAAGTTAATTTAAAAGAAATTAAAGAATGTCTCAGACAACAAAATGAATGTCGGAAATATTACACAAAATATTCAATGGTTTAATCGTGTCATGGAGAATGAAAAAGAACTGAAAATAAATGCTCTACTCTTTAAATGAAGAACTATTAAATAATATTAACAAAAGTCGACGTTATCGCCCACCACCTCTACTTTTTACAAAACGATTACAGTTTTCATTACAGATGAGACGATTTCTAAAATGTCAGCATGTGGTCGCAAATTCTTTTCACAAGCTGTCGAGTTTCTCACCTGGCTCTAATCACTTATTTATCATCGTATGTTTATTATTTATGCATTACTTCTAGGGCACATTTAAAGCTTTCACAATATATCTATAAATACATTACATATGCTTTGGGAAAGGGAAAGAGAATCAGGAAGTGGAAATGTTGTTCAGCAAGCTATTGATAGAAGAATTTAAATGGAAAATATATAGAAATATTTAAAACTGAATTGCGTTTTGTTGAAAGCTGAGAAATGAAAACAAAAACAAATGCAAGTTAAAAATGTGTGAATTGATTAAGTGCTAGCCTTAAGTCATAACTTATTCCTATAGTTTTGGTTTAACAACAAAGCCACTTGAGTCCGATGGCCTCGATTAGCACAAACAAAGATGCTCAGCTTTTTCTTCTTTGTTTTCTTTCTTTTAATTACATACTCGTATAATTTACTTGGAGCTTTAAACGTTGACTTATAGTTAACTTTTGATTTTGTTGTATTTTCAGATGAACTTTATACAAAGCTGTGATCAATGCCATAACACTAGGCTACAACTACAACTACGACTGCAGAGTGGGGTGAATGGGGTGAATGGGGTGATTGGATGAGGCATACGAATAGTTGATGCTCTACGTTCTACTTTAAATTGGACTCACACAAATATGTATATATTTATATGTATATAATATGCTCGTATATATGTCTGTATGTATATTCGTAGCCGTCTACGTACTAAACACTAAGTAACTCTCATTCGCCGGCTCAGCTGCACCAGCCGTCTCATACTAGACATACGCCTGAGCGCGCGTCCGGGGCTCCTTGCCCTGCAGTCGCTCCACGAAGTTCCGCCAACTGACCATCGTCTTGCTGGAATAGAGCCACACACTTGAGGTCACACCCACCAGCATGGAGCACAGGTATTTGACCATATAGATCTGGAAGATGGGACGAGCCTCGGCGGTGCCCGGCGGCCGTGCTACCGGGCAGGGTATGGAGAAGGGCTTGCAAATGTCACGGTGCCACTGAATCATCCACTCATCGAAGTTGTAGTACTCGTAGAAGAGGCAGCCGAGCAGCCCCAGAGCCGGCAGTATGAAGAGACCCGAGAAGAAACCAATGCGAAGCATCAGGCGCTCCAATTTATCCGTGCGCTTGCCATCCGTCTTCATCACGGTGCGTATGCGGAAGAGCGAGATGAAGCCGGCCAGGAGGAGCAGGGCGCCAATCGATAGATAAATGCAGAGCGGCAGAATGAGGAATACGCCCAGGGAGTGGGAGTCCAGTTGGCCCACAAAGCACACTCCCGACAAAATGTCACCTGCAACAACAAAAAACAATTCGAAATTTTCTTTTAGATAACGAAAATAGCAATCACAATAGACGCTTTAATAAGGTTTCAGGATTGTAAAATGTGCATTAGAGAACACATTGGCGTTATTTTGTAAATTAAAATGTTTGGAAAATTACATAAAATTAATTACCAACAAATTCAAGTAAATGGCACTATATTCAAAACAAATAAGGCAACATCTGGCAAAAGTTCAAAAGGCATAAAACGTTTTGGGTCAGAGCGAAGTTTGCGATAAAGACGCTCCTCATCCATATGCTTAGAAAATGCTTAGATTGTTTTGTTGTTTATTTTGTTGTAACATTCATTTTATTTATTAAGTAAATTAGTTCATTTTTCCACTATTTTTGTTTTTATTATTTCAGCTTTAAATGTTATTTCTTTCCTGTTAAATATATCTAACAATCAGATGGAGAAATGTTTTATCTTATATCTTCCAGCGATACACATGTAAACATCATGACGTTACGAATCTGTTCATCCGTCTGGATGAGTACCGAGAGCTTTTAAACCATACATGGTAGGAAAACCAAACTTGACCTATATGCAGAGCAACTTTACTACAAACTTAATATACTCGTAGACTTTTTATTTTATTTAGCTTCAATGTACTGATTGGTGCAAGAATTATTCTTGGTAGGCTGACTTAAACAACAGAAAGGCAGGATTACCATTTACATTTATTAATTTGTTTGATAGGCTTCTTGAAAACCGCATTCAAAAATCATACAAATAAGCTTAAATTGATTTAGCGTCAAGTATAGGGATAAATAATTTCAAATATCTTATTAGTAAAATGGATAAATCCAGCTCCATATATTAAGCAAAGTAGTACTTAATTTTTAAGCTTTAAGGCCAACTTTCAAGTTGCTTAAGCCGGAAATCCATACAAATTAAAAACACAGTTTAAGTTTAAGTTTCACGATGTGGTTATGAATATATTTTTAGAGCACTGTCAAAATCGGCAAACTATAACGAATTAAAGAGTCTGGCTGGCACGACTTTTTGATCTAAAGTGACAAAAGGATTGATTTTTCTCGTATTTCATATTTTTCTTAAGTGTTTCTAATTGAATAAAGAATATAGTTGAAACAAAAATGTTTAGCTCTTCAGAAGTGTGTTGACTTTATTTCAATTAAAGTCGTATATTTGTTTTAATTAATGATAATTAGAGCTAAATGCCCTTGTTTAGTTAACGCTCTTGTTTTATGTACACTAACAAATATCCGCTCTTTGTATAATTATTTAGCACTAGCTAAGTTTTAAGTGTTGGCTTTTATTTGCCTAACCACACAACCAATGAGAAACGATAAATGAAAAGAAAACAGCAGTACGAGTTAACTTGTTTTCCAATTTAAAGTAAAACTTTCAGGCTTAAACCTCGAAATCATTTCATTTCTATTTCCATCAACTTGTGTCTAATGCCAGGGAGAACATTTCACTCTGGCAATTGTTGTTGTTGCAGCTCATAACGATATAAACATAAACATAACATCTCCCTCAACTCTCAGATGCAACACAAGCGAGCAACTGAGAGGCAGGCGACGAACCAAGACCCAAGCAAAAACAATGTTTAATTTTACTTTTACCTTTCGATAAATATTTACACAGCGATTGTTAAACAGCAGCAGCAGCAACCATTCACATTCACATGGCCATAGCCGAACAACAACAATAACAACAGCAACATTAACAACGACACCTTCGACAATGGCAACAACAATTCCAGGTTAGGCTCCAAGTCCCTGTCCGATCCGTCCGATCCGGCCTGCCCCTGCCCCTGCCCGTGGTCTGTGAAAAAGTTCAAAGTCTATGCGCCGCAGCTTGTTTAAACAATTTACAACTCGCTTTTAGGATCAGGGGCACAGAAGTTGTGGTTGCTCTTATCGTTGCTGCACCACACTGGCAAACTGACAAACTGACAGACTGACAGACTGACGGACTGACGAGTGGACGAGCTGAAGAGCAGAGGGGCCCTGCCTTTAATGCACTTCGAGTTGCCTGCCCAGCTCATTAGCACTATTTGCTATTTATAAACATGTTAACAACCCCAACATCGGCATCGCTCGCTTCAATCCCCACTCCATATTGATTCATGTACGGCTATATATACATATATATTATATATATGTGTGTGTGTGTGTAAGCTCCATGTGTGTTCATATTCATGACTTATTGGCGCGCCATATTTCCGCTCATAAATTATCGATTAGCTCTTGCTTTTTATTCAATTTTATTTGCGGCTTTTATGACATGTTAATTTAGTTTTCACTTGAGTTTTATTTCACACCCTCCCCCCCTCCCACTCCACACTCCCCCTGCTCCACACCATTCAAGTGGATCACGATTTTGTTGTTAGTGTTAATGTTGTTGTTGTTGTTGTTGTCAGACTGGGTGCCTGTTGGTTGCCACTAACGATTTACACCTCGTTGACTTGTAAATACATGCTTTTAATTAAAATGTCTGCCCACCTCCTATTTTTTTTGTTCAGCCTTCAATCTGTGGTCAACTCTTGCTTTCGTTGAAGGCATGGGAAATTTTCACTCCAATGCGTCGATATAATATTTATTATGATGCCGCCTATAGAAGTTTGATAAGGGACAGAGGCTATGGTTAGGCTTTTGACATAACATCCCGACGAAACTAGCTTTTGAATATTCTATATAATTCTTATGGGTTTTATTTGCATAGAAACGCCATATTTTTATTACTTAAGAAGTAGATACAACAAATTTTAATGCATATTATTTGCCTGTCCAACCAAAAAAGTGTCAAGGAGTCAAGGGATATGCTTGAGGCTCTGAAACTTTTCCTTACCAGTTAATAACCAGACTTAAAACAGATTGTTTTTTTGAGTAAATAATGAGTTATTTTCTAGATCTAGGTCTTAAATAAGATTTAGCTAATTTGGTATTTAAAAACTATCCAACTCTTTTGGAATATTTGTAAAGAACTGGTCTCCGAAGATCTATACTGTTGATTAATTATACAGTGCTGCTTTGGTGAAAAAACTCTTTGAATTTCACGATTCAGAATGTGAAATAAATACTATATAAACGCATAATATTAAAGTGGAATATTTAGAAGAATATTAATATTGTTACCTTTCAGAAATTAGCCATATTCTGTAGGATAATAGAAACAAGGAATTAAATAATTCCATTTATGCCGAGATATTGTGAAACGTTTCAGAACTAAACTCGATTTGGAGTATTGTTTCTTGTGTTCTTCATACATTTAGTTGTTGGACATTCTAAGATTGATACAGACTTACTTTTAAGAATATGAGTATAAAGTTCTAAGAAAGAAGAACAAATTATGTAGTGGTATGTAATATGCAGATTGAAGAATAAATGTTGGCAAGCAAAGCTAGCTGTAGGGAGATTTGGACACAAAAAAAGGATACAAATTTAACAAAAACTACTAACAAAGTCAGAAGATTACAAATTTAAAAGTATTATTATTAAAGTGAACCAAAACGATTCTCTTTGCCGAGCTGGTACACTCAAATGAAAAAGTGTCTAGAGATTTGTGTAGAGAGACATATCGTCGATTGTTAACTGCATAACGGCTTGTTAATGCAAGTGAACTTATAAGCCTGATCTATAAATTTACAGTACAATTTCCATGAGCCATCATTAGCTACCTAAGGATGTTTTATGTGGGCTAATTGGCCGCCTTTGATGTTGAGCACAACTGGAAATTAATTCACACCATGAGCAGCGCCACAAGATGAAGCGCCACAAATTTATAAATGGCTAGAAACTGCAGCTAAACGAATTCAATAAATTACAGAGCTAGGCAGGTGGGAAGGCAGTTAGGCAGCGCTGGAACTGTGGAAGCTCCTCGTCTTGACATTAGAATAGTCAGCCAGGAACATGAACATTAGCCACTGAGAGCGTCCCACGTACCGGGCTCAAGTGATTTCCGCTATGAAAACTGAAAAACTGAGAATAAATCTGCCAGTTACGAGTACATGGTAAGCAGCAGCGAGCAAAGCGAATGCTGCCACCTGCCTGATGCCGCTCCAGCCAGATATTGATCTTAATTTGTTGCAAAGGAGGGAAAAAAAAACAAAAAATATACATATATAGAAACAGATGGAATAAGGAGGAGAAGAAATAACATCAATGGCTGCAGAACGAGATGAAACGAAACGAAACGCATTGTAATTCAAAAACGATGGCAGAAGTTGCCGCGCAAAGAAACCGACTGCAGGAGGCTGTGGAGTTGCGGCTTTGCGGGCTCTATTGATAAATGAAGAGCAGTTGCAGTTGCTGTTGCAGGCAGCTACAAAGACAATTTGCTACAAAGACAACATGCAGCCGGGCAGGCAGAGGAACCAGTTCTACTTACACATCCTTTTTATCGCAATGCAAACTGGTTTGCCTTTGTTGGCCATTTTGGAAATTTCATTTGCAAAACGAGTACAGTTGGTTGACAAACGTACAGAACGAACTTGCCAGCAACTGAGTGACGACTGAGGGGAGTGAGGCAGGCGCACAGTGTGATGATTTATTCATTAAATTACATTTTTATTTATTCAAAAAGTTCGTTCAATTCGGTGTTTTTTTTAAAGTAACTTGTGTTTTTAAAAGGTAAGAAATGTTGTTTGAAAGTTGTGCTTTTTTCAAATAGATTTTCTTTTTGCTTTTAAAACAAACATATTTTTGGAAAAATAACTTTTGAAAAGCTTGAACAAACAACTGACATAAATGTTTCTTCTCGTGAAGTAAAGTATTTTCTGTTAATATCGGGAAAGTGAAGAGTTAATTGTATAGCAGCAAAGCAAGCATTTAGTCTTTAAAGAATTTTGGATGAAGTGCAAAGAGTTTCTATCCCACCTGAATATGAATCTTTGTCGTAGAAGTTAATCTTTTTATAGATAGCTTGTAAGAAGCTTGTCGTACGATGTAAGCCGTAGAATAAGATATTAATTCCATTTACCCGTAAAAAATGAACTGAATGAA